ACCACCCTGAATATACAATAACCTGGTCTTAAGTTTTATTTACATGTAATATATATATATTTCTTCAAATTGGAAATGCTTTACATTTCACATTTTTCCTAATGTAGTTATGAAAATACAATTAGTTTAATTATGTATTATATTTTGAATTAGATACAAATTGAAACAAAACAGAAGGTGACCTAAGCACTCTTGGGGGTGGAAAATTCTTAATTAGTAATTAGTAGTTCTAAGGAAATTATCTACCAACAAGGCAAACATCAAATATATTATGCTCAGCCCTGGCCAGTATAGCTCAGTTAGTTGGAGCATCATCCCATATACCAAAAGGTGGTATGTTTGATTCCTGATCAGGGCACATACCTAAGTTGTGGATTTGATCTCTGGTCCAGGCACATATGGATGGTGACTAATCAATGTTCTCTCTCACATTGATGTTTTTCTCTTTCTCTCTCCCTCACCTCCCTCCAACACACCCACCTCCTCCTTTTAAAATCAATGGGCTTACCCTTGGGTGAGGAATAAAATACATATACTGCTAAGTAAAAGATGGCAGACATAAAGAAATGTTAAATGATTTCATTTATATAAAATGTCCAGAAAAAGCAAATTTATAGAGACAAAAGGTATATTAGTGGTTGCCTAGGAACAGGAAGTAATCCTGATAATTTGAAACTGGCTGTTAAGGCACCATCTTCAAGAAAGGCTTCATAGTTAAAGAAGCATGAATTATATACAACTTATTAAAAGTAGAGAAAAGTGAGAAAGAACAGTAGGGGAAAATACCATAACAAATTCCCAAGGACCTAAGATAGATCATGTTATAAGTAGAACATCTTTTATGATAAATAAATCTCTAAAAGATTTATATCTCATCTGAGCCAATGAAATGGTCTGCTCTTATAAGAATGGTAAGGATATGTACATGATCTTTTCATTAAAAAGAAAATATACCCGCAGTCATTAAAAAGAAATAGGTATATGTGCTATGTATCTATTTAAGTATATGGAAAGGTCTACAAGATGTACTATTCAGTGAAAAAAGCAAGGTAGGAAAATGGTGTGAATGGTTTGATAACTCTAGTTTTTAAAAAATGTAATTTTTATCTGTATATTCTGGCAAAAATGCACAATTTTCCCCACCCAGAAAGAAATCAACCATCAGAGGAAATGGGACAGAAGTGGAAAAGGGAAATTTCATTTTGCACTTTGTATTATCTGAATTTTCTAACCATGTATATGTATTACTTTTATTTTAGAAAATGCTCATTTGGTTGATGGAATTACTTATTATATTAGAAAGAGTAATATAAGCTCCTACTGGCCATGAAAATAATTTATTGACTGCTGCTCACTATATATTGCCTGGCATAATAATTCTGTATGTTGAGATCCGTAATAAGCTTTTGCAACATTGAAAAAACATACTAATAAATGTTATTAAAATATTTTTAAAGTACGTTTTAAAAAGATAAGCAGCTGAGTCCAATCTCTGAAGTCAGGCTGAGCAGGAGCCAGTTATTGTTACTGGTTGAGCAGTATGTGAACGGCTCATTTGCAATTGGTGGCCAGGATAATGCACTTTATGTCTACAGATTTTCCTGAATTAAAAAATGCATATTACCCAAAAATAATTTCCCATAAGACAGAAATTTAGAAAGCACCTAAGAATCGATATGATCCACCCATCCCTTCCCACACCCTCCCGTGTCAGTTATCAATGCAGAGCTCTTTCTCCAAATCTACCTTTCTTTGCTCTTTGTGGTACAGGAGCGGGACCTGCCAACAGTCCTCCTTTGCCAGCGGTTCGCTTATGCCAGTACTGGGCAGTGAAGCGAAGTCTGAGTGGTGTGCTTTTTCCTTCTGGCTCCTCTGACATGCACCCAGAAGTGCTCTCCACTCAGCAAATCCCAATGGTATCCCAAAGAGTGGCTTCCTGTGAAGTCTCACTGGTTCCCTACTCTGGATTCCTAGCAAGTCTTGCCAGAACTCCAGTAGGCAGTTTCCTGCTTGCCAGTCGTGGTCTGTGGCACCTCCAGGAATGTCCATGCCATCCACTGGCTGCAGTGGCACCTCTCCAACAGTGTCTGACTCTCAGGTTTGTGGGGGAAGGGCCCTCTTCCAAGTTTTCTCCTTCCGGGGGACTCTGTCTGAGCCTAGAGGTATCAGCTGCTCCCTTTACCTGCTATGCTTGTATTCTATATAATTCTCTTTAATTCTTAGTAGTTAATCTTATTGCTACTTAATAAAATGTAATTTATTTAATTAAATTTTCCCTGCTCATTTTACTGGTGCTTCTGATTCCTGACTGGACCTTAACTAATTCACACCTAAAACAAATCAAGCCAAACCAAACCAAACCGAATTAACCCAAGCCAACAACAAAGAATTAAATTGGTAAGCCCACTCTTAAAACATACATCTGTATGTTAGATTTGATAATACAGAGAAACACCATGGCTTTTAGCCCAACTTGTTAACTGATTGCATTAACAACTCGCATAAAACTAAAAGAGACAGTGTTTTGTGATGTGTAAATGAAGCTAAGCTAAAACTGTATCGTCCAGAATTCTCTTCCCTCTATGGTTCCAGAGAAAGTTGTCCAAGATTGGGAAGGCAAAAATGAAGCAGCAGCCATACATCTGGAGGTCAGTATAGGATGCAGGTGCTCTGTAGCTCACAGACTTTGTCACTGATTTGCTGGTTCATCTTGTGGAGAAGGAACTGAGCTCCTAGCTCTTCCAGTTCCTGCCGGACCTTTTCCTTTAGCTTCTCCTAGTCCAAGGCCAGGTGCATGCGCAGCTCCATGGCCAACAGTGCTACTTCTCTTGCAGGTCACCTGCACTGTCGAGGTGGGAGGAAGTAAGAGGTAGACACAGATTCCAGTCTGTCATGGCAAAAAAGTCCTGTGTCATGTCCAGCTGTTTTTCCTGACTGCTGCCCCGATGACCTATAGAGACATCAGGCCCAGAAGCAGTCCCTAATTCAAAGACTTCCATAAGCTTTTCTCACAGTTTCTGTAACACTGTAAGAGCTGGTCCCAATAATAAATTCCTTACTTCATACCACTATGGTGTTTCAGGGTCAAACTCTTAGTAATATACATTATAAAACGGTAAATAATTCAATCGAAAAAAAAATTGTGTCACTTGAGCAGTTGGGTTCCTACTATCAATTCTTATTTCCCCTAGGTTTCTCCTTATTTATTTATGTACAATATCTAGGTTATAAAATAGCTTAGATGTTGAAGTGGGAAAATTTTTAAAATGTCATTTTCTTTAACAAATGCCCATGTGAGCACTCCTAAATGCCATAAAACTAATTAGATGTAGGATGAAGTGATCTATTATAGTTACTCTGAGACACAGACGCAAATTTCCTAGGTGGCTTAGGATGCAGGAGAACCTAGCCTATTTTTGTGACAGTGTTCTCCATGCCAGCAGAGGAATGAGATAAAAAAACTATCTAAGAACTTAAGCTGAGCAAAAGGTGATGTCCAAATTCCAGCAATGTCATTAGTTCCACACCCACATTCATTTGTTGACATTTTTGCGGTTTAGCCTTGTTTCCTGATCATGCTCAGTGTGACTTCCCAGTTCTCAGAAGTGTGAACTTCATAATTCCACTTTCAGTTTTAGAAGAGGGCAAGTAGGAAAAAGAGAGATAGATATTCCGTGCTTGGCAGCAGAGAAAGAGCTCTTGATTAGGGAGAACTTTGGGTTAAGACCTTTAACTCCAAGACTGTGGACATACTATTTGAAATAGTTTTTAGAAATCAATAGATATTTTTTAAGCTCCTACTAGCTACTAGGAAAGTAGCTAGGCCTCATCAGTTAGAAATGGTGGATGAAACAGAAAGGACAGGCAGAACAAAAAGAGTAAGACTACTGCTAGCATTGAGGGGCATGATCATTTCATGGCGAGAACTCTACCTGAGACCTCAATACCTGCATATTTAATAAATCCATGAAAATATGGAGTCCCTTAAGCTGGAAGTCCTTCCATGTTCCTTGTCGGAGTCCCAAAGCTACTGTGTACAGCTCAGCAGTGAGTCAGCCTGGAGGCTACAGGCATGCTGTTTTCCATTGCACATCTCAGAAGGATGTATTACATGTGCTGTGCAATATCTAGGTTATAAAATAGCTTAAATGTTGAAGTGGGAAAATTTTTTAAAAAAACTCTATTTTATTGATTTTTTACAGAGAGGATGAGAGAGTGATAGAGAGTTAGAAACATCGATGAGACAGAAACATCGATCAGCTGCCTCTTGGGGATGCACACCCCCTACTGGGGATGTGCTCGCAACCAAGGTACATGCCCTTGACCGGAATTGAACCTGGGACCTTTCTGTCCGCAGGCCGACACTCTATCCACTGAGCCAAACCAGTTTTGGCTATTTAAATTCTTATAGGTTCTCCACAGGAAAAGAGAGAATAAAAAGAACTTGCTGAATTTATTTGTCATAAAACTAACTTCTTTATGAAAAGACATGGATAGGAGAAATGTAATAAATGTAAATGGCAGAATCATGAGATTCACTAAACATTCCAGAAAATTCTCAGATGGTTCATAGAAATTGCCAATGAAATTAAACTCTTAATTTCTATCCATATAGATTTAGTTCATTCGTTCATTTGTTCATTTATTCATTCAACAAATATTTACTGATTGACATTAGACTTAATTACATCAGGTAAGACAGATAATATCCCAACCTCAGGGAATTTACCTTCTGCGGTAGGGGAAAACACTCAAAAGTAAACAAATACATATAATTTCAGTTGTTATAAAGTGCTATAAAAAAGTAAAGCAGGGATGAAATGGGTGGTTCTGTTTTAGATGATTTAGTATTATAGATTAAAATTTCTACAAATAGTATACAATAAATGTTATAACAAATATAACCACAAATATGTCTTAGACATACTGGATTCATGTACTGAATATCTTTATATAAATCATAATGAGCTTACATATATATAAATCATAATGAAACTTACCCTATAGAAAGCACTGGTCAAAGGGAGTAATGCTGCAGCAATGTTATACTCTTCTAAACTTGAACAATCCTTAGACAAAACAAAGAGAAATAAGTATTAATTAGCACATTATTGGGAATTATAAACATATGGAAACAAAAATCTGGGATATATTGTTTACTATCCTATGGGGTTCTTTTATTCCAAATCCTTACTAAGATGTACTAAGGTAAGTTTTTTTTTTTTTGGGGGGGAGGGGGGATACTGTCTCTGAAGCATACTCTTTTAGAAATGAGATAAAAATACATTTGAGAAAGATATTTTGATATGCTCATGATGAATAGCTAGTTTTACTTACCTGTTTTCCAAAAACTGTGGAGAAGTATGTAATTCATAGAGAACAGTTTTTGGAGGAGGTTTTGATACAATTTACTACTGCATTTCACTGAATCTAAGATACACTTTTTTCATATTTTAACTTCTCTGAAACTGGAATGTATTTTATAATTAATTGGAATTTTTTTTTCTCTGAAGAAAAAATACAAAGGGTATTTTCTTATTGATCAGGCAAGAAATATCAATGATGCTAAAATCCATTGGATGGAATGTTGTTGGAATAGTCAGAAAATCTTAGTGATAATGTGAAATGGTATAAAAATAGTATGGTAATTTCTAAAAATTGAAAAATAGAATTATCATATGATCCAACAATTCTACTTCTGAGTATATACCCCAAATAGTGGTGACTTGAACAGATATTTGTACATTCATGTTCATAACGGCACTATTTAGAATATCCAATACGTGAAAACAATCCAACAGAAGAATGAATAAACAAAATGTGTGCATGCAATGTGTGCATGCATGTGTGCATTCCAATAAGAGGAATATTATTCAGCCTTAAAAAGGAAGGAAATTCCAACACACACTACAACATGGATGAACCTTGAGGACATTATGCTAAGTGAAATAAGTCATACTGTATGATCCAAGGTAAGAAGCTTCTGCACAGCAAAGAAAGCCATCAACAAAATGAAAAGGAAGCTTACTAAAAGGAAGAACATATTTGCAAACCACTTGTCCAGTAAGAGATTAATGTCCAATATATTCAAGGAACTCATATAAGTCAATAGCAAAAATACAAATAACCCAATTAAAAAAACGGGCTAAGAAACTAAATAGACATTTTTCCAAAGACATACAAATGGCTAACAGGTATATGAAAAGGTACTCAACATAATTAACCATCAGGGTATATGAATGCAAATTAAGACCACAATGTATCGCCTCACATCTGTTAGAATTGCTATTATCAAACAGACAAAAAATTGCAAGTGCTAACAAGGATGTGGAGAATAGAGAACCCTTGTACACTGATGGTGGTAATGTAAACTGGTACAGGCACTATGAAAAACAGTATGAAGGTTCCTCAAGAAATTAAAAAATAGAACTACTATATGATCCAGTAACCCCATTTCTGAGTATATATCCAAAGAAAATGAAATCATTATTTAAAAAAAAAAAATCCTTACACAAGGATATATTTCCATTGGTTCTTAGAGAGAGACGAAGGGAGAAACATTGAATGGTTGCCTTCTACCCATATGTGCTCAAATTGAGAATTGAATCTCCATGAGAAGACACTCAAAAAACTGAGCCACCCTGCTAGGGCTGAAATCATTATCTTGAAGAAATTACCTGTACTCCCATGTTCACTGAGGCATTATTTACAATAGTTAAGGTATGGAAACAAATTAAGGATCCATTAATGAATGAATCATAAAGAAAATGTGGTTTATATTCACAATGGAATATTATTCAGCCTTAAAAAGGAAGGAAATCCTGACATTTGCAACAATATCGATGAACCTGGAGGGCATTTTGGTAAGTGAAATAAGTCAAACAAAGAAAAACAAACAGTTCATATTACCTATAGGTGGAATAAAAAAAAAAATTAAACTCAGAAATAGTAAAATGGTGGCTGCCAGGGATTGGGGCATGGAGTGTATGGGGAGATGCTGGGAAAAGAGAACAAAGTTTGAATTATAAGATGAATATGCTCTAAGGATCTAATGTATTATATAACATGGTGACTAGTTGATAATACTGTATCATATAATTGAAATTTGCTAAAGGAATAGAACGTAAGTATTCTCACCAAAAAAAGGGTGAATATGTGAGGTGATGGATATATTAACTCAATTTCTGAAATCCTTTCACACTATATACATCAAATTATCATACTATTCCCTATATATATATATACTATAATTTTACTTGTCAATTTTACCTCTCTTAATAAAACTGGAACATAATATACTGTCAGGCCCTGTAGGAAAACAGCACACCTTTCCCTATTTGGTATCACAGTATGTTCTCTATCAACTCCATGGATTTTATAAAATAATCCCAGAACACGGCAAAAGCGTGAATCATCTTTTTTTTTTTTCATGACTTATTCCTCACCCCTTAAGTTAGGACACTGCTATGCACAAGAATGTCATCCCCTGTGTCCCAGCACATCTGAGTTTCTTTAACAGAAATGCCTTGCATGTTTCTGAAGACTGTCATGAGGCCCAAGGCAATAAAGTTCAACAGACTTGAGCTGTAATCTTCTCCCAAGGAAATGGTTGGGATGCCAAGATGCCTTTTGACTTTGATTTCACAGCAGGGCTTCATTTGTAATAATTCTATCCAAACTTTAAATGACAACAGCTGTGATATGAAGTCCAACACACTCATTTATAAAAATTTCCCACAAATTAAAAAAAATTAAACAATGGGGAATTTCAATCCATGACCAATTAGCAGGGAACAGGCAATCATAAAACATTTAGGAGCTATTTATTATCTTACAAAATGTTTACACATTTTAGTGCATGTTTCAAACCTGAGCGCCAGTCAAATGCTGATTGCAAAATATAAATATAAAATTCTTTGCAAGTCACGTTAGAGACATTCTAAGTTAATTAGGTTGAAAAATGGAAAAATTTTAAAACAATAAGTCTACAACTATTGACATAGCAATAGCATTCCGGAATAGTGCAGTTATCTATTGGGGAATCAGTCCATAAATACACATCCTGAACTCCCCAGTGCTTTCGCCACATAATAGCAATGTAGTTACAGACATACCAGGCAATTTATAAACTTGCAAGAACTTGAATATTTATACATGTTTTATTCTGAACTTTGCTATGTAGTTTTCCTTTAATTTTCCTGCTACAATTGAAGAGTGAGCCCTACAATCTTAATTTCCCATTACCCTCAATTACTTCATACTTTCTATCTGCATACATTTGAACTGCCATGGCCAGAATTCCTGTTTCATAAAACTCTGGAATTTATCAAAAATGATATATTTAAACATTAAAGAAAAAGAGATTGAAAGACACAACTGTGTTTTGCACAAATGTCATATAACTGACTTTTCTTTAGAGTTTAGTTGATGTAGCTCAAGAAAATTTTTTTGAGTTTTCCAAACACTGAAAACATTTGCATCTTCTACACAGGGACAAAAATTAAAACTACCTTTCTCCTTGGTAGCCTATGCCCTCATGGGCTCCACGCCCAGCACCTGACTCAGAAACCTCTCACCTGCTGGCAAGGCCTGGGCACTGATCTCATATTTTTGGGAACCCATGTTTCTTCTCCAGAGAGGGCCCAGCTCACCCCACTGGGAGGGAGAGAGTGTTAACAAAAATTTTTATTGGCAGAACATCTCATGGTAAAATTGCATAACATGTTATGAACCTAAAGCAGTCATAGTTTAGCGCAAATAATTAAATTGTAAAAGATATCAAGACTACATTATAAAATTCCAAAAGTCTCCTATTATTTAAATTAAAAAAGGGAGTGACAGTGGAAGAATATCATGTAAGGAAAAATATCCTGCAAATAATTTACATCTAAAAAATTTGTACTTTAGAAAATTAACCTTCATTCGAAATGCTAACAGCAAAATACTCATGAAAATACACACATGGTGTCAAAACAAGCCAGAGGAAAATCATTTGGGGGGAAAAAAATGAAAAAGGATCCCAAGTCAGATTTACAGAAAATATCCTTTTATTAACTTTTGGTCGAGAATATGTTTGTATATTTTCAGAAAACAACTCCGAGACCATCTGGAATCCTGTAACAGAGAGGAATAGACAGAGTGCTCCAGCCATGAAGACCGAAGAGAAACAATTCAGAGATGGAAGATGCTGATGACGCCTCGCCATACCAGCAGACAACAACTGCGTATCGCTGAAGGATGCCTAGGACCAAACCAGAGATGGTCGGACCTGCATCATCACCATTTGTCCACCAACCAGATCTGAAATAGCATTGCTGACACTGAAATTGGGACTCAAAAGAACTATTAGCCCAGAAAGGAACTCAATACAGACTGATTCATTTGCCTCTCAGCAATGGCTTGTCTCAGTTTAGGTTCTTTCAAGGGTTCTTAGATCACATGATCTCACACATCTACAGGAAATAATGAATAACATAAACTGATGAACAAAAACAGACCCAGAGAAAGAGAAGCAGCGATCAGACTCTCAAACCTCAGAGGGAAGGTAGGGGAAGGTGGGGGAAAGGGGAAGAGATCAACCAAAGGACTTGTGTACATGCATATGGGCCTAGCCAGTGGCCATGGACAACAGGGGTGTGGGGACATATCTAGGGAGGGGTTTGGGATGGGAATTGGGGGATGAGGACAATTATGTGATACCATAATCAATAAAAAAAATAAAAAATTAAAAAAAATTATACTACCAAAGCCAAAAATACCTCTTTGTATCATACTAGAGGCCCAGTCCGTGAAATTTGTGCACTTGAAGATGGGGTGTCGTTCAGCCCGGCCTGCACCCTCTTGCAGTCTGGGAGCCCTTGGGGGATGTCCGACTAAGGGCCTAAGTGGGCCTGAGCCATCAGTTAGACATCCTTAGCACTGCTGCAGAGGCAGGAGAGGCTCCCACCACTGTCACTGTGCTCGCTAGCCGTCAAGCCGGCTCCTTGCTGAACCAAATCTTCCTGATTAACATTAGCTCTCCCTCTATTTATCTCATCAAAACACATAAAAACCTACCACAGTGATGCCA